GCACCATTTGAAATCGGTTATGATGTAGGGGGAAAAGCAGCAGCCTCGAAGCCTCATGCCAGCCCTGGTGAGCAAGCGCCTGTCTCCTGGAGGACGGATGGGCAGAGAGTGGGGAAGGACCATCTCGCGCTTTTTTCACTAACTTCTTTAACTGCATTTATGATGCCTTATTGCAGAGGTAAGAGAGAACTGAATGTATTTTGAAAAACAAATGGCCAAAATGCATCTGATGTCCCGGGTTGCATGTTGCTAAAATGTGGCAGGTGCTGCATATGCTGTCAGCGGTTGCTGTTGAATCATCTTTCCGTGAAGAGTCTGTTCGTGCCTCCTGACCTGAATAAATGCTTCACTCTACTCAATTAATCATGTCTTTGTTTTTCATCTGTCATTTCCTATTCATAATTCTATGATAAGCGGGGTCCTGCAAAGGTGACTTGAGATGTAGATTTACCCACTTCCTAAGCATTTGAGAAGCCAGCCCGTTAGGACAAGAATAGAATTCTGTGAGCCAAGAAACATACATGAGAGAAAAGATCACAGAAAAGAGAGATGTTCAAGCCCGGGCCAAGGGATGCTGCTTATGGAAGGGGAAACTGAGGCTGGTCCCAAATGGACTGGAGCCCTGGCACCTCTGCGGTCTGTGATCCTTTGAGAAATTTGGTCGAACCGAACCCACTGTCACATGGCTGGTAAAGGAGAGCAGCCTGAGGATTTCCCTTGCTTCATAAAAGATGCAGGAGGTCTACTTGTGGTTCCTAGTTTCTATGAACCCTGAAGACAGGGTGAACCAGTTCTGGAAAGGTATTCAGCGATTAGCCAGATCTGACGTCACAGGGGATTAGACCTGGGGAACCTGCGGGTCGGAGGGCTGTGGCCCCCTGAGGGCGCGTTTTGCGCAGATGTCCGGAGACATCTTCAATCTGTTTTTCAAGACCGTGCAAATTTTAGCGTCCACCTGTTGGGGCTCTGGTTATCCTGTTCCAGGATCGGGCCTACATTTTTGTTCTAAAGTTTCCCCACGTGACTCTCATGTGCAGCCACAGGTGAGAGCCACCCCTCTGGGGTCTTGCTTTCCTACTCAGACGGTGCTGTGAGGACCCCTAGCACGGGTCTATGAGTTGTTGGTCTTCGGCTCCTTGGGCTGCTGTAGAAAATACTGCAGCCCGGCCCCCACCTCCTAATAGTATCACCTTGGGGGTTAGGATTTTAACCTGGGGATTTTGGTGGGACACATTCACACAGTAACTGTCTTGAAACAACACACCTCACCTGGAAGTCCAAAGTGTGACCTCATTTCACGAGGCTGAACTCAAGGCATTGGCAGGGCCAAGCTCCCACCAGAGGTCCTAGGGGAATCCGTTTACTTGCCTTGCCAGCTTCTAGAGCTGCATTCTTTGGCTTAGTGGTCCCTGCCTCCATCCTTAAGGCCGGTAGCAGAGCATTTGGCCACAGGGTCACACCGCCTTCTGCTGCAGTCAGCTTCCCCACTGTCCTCCCTTCTAGGGAACCGTGTCATTACACTCAGCATCCCGCCCCCTCCCCCCCCGCAAGATCCCATGTGCAAAGAACCTTAGCCACAGAGGGGACATTCACAGGGGTTTGGTATTAGGACTCCGTGATCTCTGGAGGCCATTAGCCTACCACAAGCAGCAGTATGTAGAACTCGTGGCAATGCTGAATCTTGGGCCCCACCTGGGACCTGCTGGATCAGAATGTGCATTTTAAGAAGACTTGCCT